TCCACTCCTCGCCCGTTAAGCTGGCGCTCTCTGCCGAAGCATCGGATCCAGGCTAGTTAGCATCCCCGGAGAAGCCCCGTGTTTCAGGGGTCACTCCTCACCGGTAAGGCCGACGATCCCTGCCCGACGCCTGGCATCGGGTCCGCTAATCCTTACCTATAGCCCTAACACTGTTTCGCATTCACCCAGGCCCGAAAACCTGTGGGGCAAGGAAAAAACCCTGGAATTACTCTGAAGGAAAATTTCACGGAAAAACCCGCCCGGAAACAGCCGGGGTTACATAGGAACTTTTCCCAATGAAAACAGTTTTTGAAAAAATCTGCATTCACCGGGAATCGAACCCACGACCCCTAGAACTGCGTTGTATCAGTAACAAGCACGCTTACCACTGAGCCAACGCCGCTCTGATGTTCTGTAGGTAATTGATTCTCTTAAGAAATTTTATGATTTCTCTTGAAGGCTTTGCATATTATAAACTATTAAAGCCTTTTTTCTCAATTGTAATAATCAAACGTATAACATGCATTCAAATTCAAAGTGTTAATAGACAATTTTTATCCTGAGAAAAGTAAAATGGAAAAAGTAATTGTACGAAATTTTATTAATATATATATATATATTCTACTGAAGACGCTTGATTTTGTTAATTCAATAAAAAATTTAGTAAATTTTCATATAAGTACTTATTTGAGTTAAATATTGGTGTATATTTAATACATGCCATTAATGCCGATTTTTTTTAATTATGTGGCCAAACGAGTTTTTAATTTATTGGTAAATACATAGATGTCGAAATCTCACGTATCGTGACATATTTTAAACTTAAATTTTCATTTAAAAACATTGTGTACAAAATTTGTAAAAAGTACATTGTGTATTGTAAGTATAATAAGATGAGTTTTGTGATTTGCCATTTGGTCAATATTATTTTGATTAAAACAAGTGCTGTGAACTGTAAAATTAAATTATTAATTAAAAATGGTCAAGAAAATATATAGATAAAACTTATTTTGTAGTTCCATTATTTAATTTGAATATTAATTTTGACCTATTACGTTTAAAGATTAAAAGTTTTTGGTTATTCATAAAAAATAATAGACAAAGAAATGTGTTATATGTGAACTTTGTCAAGTCCTATTAAAAAACGATAACCACTTTGTTTTGAATAAGAAGGAGCATAGTCATGAAAAGATAGAGCAATGCGTATTTCGTAAATTAAATATCGAGAGACAAATCCAATTAAGTAGACATAAAAAAAATCCCAACTCATTAGAAAAAAAATTTTTGCTCAAGATGTGAAAAGTGCTCTTCTAAGAATATTGTGTGAAGGAGGTACATTAGTAAGATGTATTGAAAAGTAAGTATCCTTAAAAAATGCAATACTTAAAAATGAAAAATAATTTCGTACAAAAACCAATGTTTAATATTTACATTGGAAATAGATCAACAACAATTTTTTGCTGATGCATTGCATCAAAATAAAAAAGGTCAACAAGTGTCTGCTAAAAATGGTGTTCCATAAAATCGTATTGTGAAGGACTTTTTTTATTATAATGCAACATCTCTGTTGTAGCTGTTATTTTGATTTGAATATCAAGGAGTTCAAATAAAGGATACAGAAGGATAACATTTCAATGTACAAAATTTTCTTTATTATTATAACTGGAGTATTTTATAACTAAATATAGTGAGCGCCCGTTGGCTCAGACGGCTAGGTCGTGGGTCGGCACGCGGGAGACCGCAGTTCGATTCCCGGCCAGTGTGACTTTTTCGGACAAGTACCTCTGTGAATGCTTACATGTGCTTTTTCACTACGCAATGCCCCTCGAGGAGGGTTTAGGCGACCTTCTCGCAGCATAATTGCCTAATTTCCCCCTACCTCCCTCCCAGTAATGGGTGGCCCCCAATCCCTATTCCTTTCCTTTTCCCAAGTGCTAAGTTCCCTGAGTAGTGCTCTTTACCGGAGTTGGATGTAAAGCACTATAATAAAAAAAAACTGAATACATGTCGTCTATCATTTCGAAATCAGTTATAAAAAATCTTAGTCAAAATAAAGTAGATTTTAACTCAATTGTTGATAAATTTATGGAAGGTGACGCTAATTTAACATCGTTTTTATTAAATAAACAAAATCCTTTTATCAAAAGAAAAGCTAATGTAAATAAAATTCTTGAATATTTATGTCACTTGAAAAGTCTCATTGAAAGTGATATGGTAAATAATTAGGACAGACTCTAGTCTCTGCGATTACTACAAGCATGTGATTTTGTCATCTTGTGTAAAAAAATTGTATTGTATAAAAATTAGAAATGAAAAATTTTATTAAGAAAAATAAATATGTTTTATTATAATACATTGTTATGTTATGGGTACGGGTGGAACCTATGTACATACACTCACACACATATATAAGCTTATGTTTTATACAGAAATACATAAATATCTACAATAATATTTAAATATTTACTTATTTACGTCCTGGAATATTTTGAATTTCCCGCTTCTAGCGACGTTGCCGTTGCGTTTTTGTCAAACTATTATTTAATTTTTTTATTCATAAACTAATCAGACGATCGTTGCGAAACTTTGTGTACATATAGTTTATAACATTATCTGTTACACACAGAAAAATTAAAGACATTCATCACGCCAATTTTTTTAAAACTGAGTTTTTATAAGTTTCTCCACAAGCGACCGTGTTAAAATGACTGAACTTTGAAATTCAATATCTCGGAAATGAAACAGACAAACCGCTTGAAATTCTAACAGCTTCATTATAACAACAATAAAAACGTCTGGTTAAAATTTTAAAAAGATTTATTACAGGGTTCTATCTCTACCTAACGTCCTTAAAATAGTAAATAAAAAAAGATTTAATGACGTACGTACATTTTGTAATCTTTATGTTATTTAGATTTTAAGAACAGATGGAAGTCTTCTTTTTGATTCGTATCTTTTTTTCCTATAAATTATAGGTTTTAGTATCACAGTAATAATAGCAAATATTTTTACAAGAGAACATCATATAGTGTAACAACTTGCAATAAAAAACACTAAAATAACTTTTATGTCGTACAAGTCGAACACATACAGCACTAATTTTTCTATTTTTGCTTTTAACTAAAAAAAAGTTAATATTGGGTGATTTTTACATTTGAAAAACGTTTAAATCAGTTTGACCTCCGTATTTTCTTCTTTGATTTTTAATGAAAATCGATAAAACTGCAAAAACAAGGTTTTTCAATGAATTATTCAAAAGAGAAATAAAAACTCTAGTAGTTTGCAATTTCTCCTGAGTATTAATTTTGTAGCAAAGAATAATCAATTTCTTTCACATTTTAAATATTTATACTTCTTGCAAAATCGTGTTTATTTGTAAAAAAAGGTACTATTTCGAAAATTGCTTAACTTTTTTATAGTTATGCAGCAAAACATGTTAAGGCTGATTTTATTCTTACAGACTTGTACTTTCAATCACTCATTTACGGTAAATCGACTTAAGCAACTTGAGCACCACAAAATACATTTTAAAAAAGCGCTTACTTACAAAATTAATTTTCATAAATAACTTTGGCGATATCCATTAAAAACTTTTTTTATCAGATAGGTGCAATTTTTGAGTTAATAAATATTTCTTAAGCTTTGATATACAATGTAGAGAGTTGAAATTTGCAGCGAGTATCGTTTTACATTTACATTTTATGTAGGAAAATGTATCGCGTTTTATAGGTGCAGTTTCTTGCTCAACTAATATTATTATTAACTCATCGTGATGGCCGACGTGGCAGCGTAATAGAAATAAGCACCAACTGGCACTTAAAGAAATAAAACAGGAGTTTCACATCATGCATGCTAGCAGTATCATTATTATCTTGGCTTCCTATAATCGAACAGAGAAATATAACCAATCGATTTGGGGTATTTCTACAACGTAGAACGAAAGATCATCTCATATTTAAAAAAAATGTTTCAAATATATAAATAATACCTGTTAGTCATTAATACGCTATCTGTGTATTTAACCGCTTTAACATTTTATGAATCATTTTTTTCGAGGATCCTCTTTGTGGCATGAATAAAATAAAAAATAAAAATGATTATCCATTAAATAAATCAATTATACTTAAATGGCACACTCTTACTTCAGTATGCGTTTAAGATTGTTAATGGCAAGTTGACTTGATATAACATCTGTTTAATAATTTTTTGAGAATATATATACAATGCTGCTGAATTCAGATAAAAATTGCGTCTATCCGAAAAAAAATCTGATGACCACGTTGCTTCACTTGATTTATTGTACCTAAGTAATTAAAAGTATAGATCCTTAAGAATTAAATAAGCACAAGTACGTTCTACTGCGACACTACAAAAACAAATAATGCAATTTTTAAAAAAGTGCCTCTCTGATAAATACAATTTTTTAAAGAGCATAAATATTTGAAACGTAAAAAAAATTATTTATTCTTAGCACGAGGCTGGGAGGTTCAACTAACTTTCAGATTTTTTTATACGAAAAGCCCCAAATGTCTAGCTATCAACCTTTCTTTTTTTTTAAAACGAAAATAATGTATAAAAACTAATGCTGAATATGTTTGATACCTACGACACCAAAATTATAGCAGTATTTTTATTCCAAGTCACTGCACCATATGATATTCTCTTTCTTCCTTTCTATTCACCTACTCCAAGCAAAGTAAGGACAAGTAAAATTGTATTTTTATCGTAAAACCACCATCGAACTTGCTCTCTTGACTAGTCTGTAATATAGGAGGTGTAGTTAAAAAGTCAAATGACTTCGTATTTTTGAGAAAAAACATTCATCCATTAATTAATCTTTATCTTTTATAAATAATCACCGTCATATACGATATACTTGTACCAACGCTTGTTCCAATCCTCGAATCACTACTCATAAGCACTTTTTGGAATACCCTTAAGCTTTCCCAGAAATGCAGTCTTTAACTCGTCACTCGTTGTGAATCTCCGTTATTTTATAGGTCTCTTCAGTTTTGGGAACAAAAAAGAGTCACATGGAGCCAAATCTGATGAACATGGTGACTAAGGCAAAGTGGTGATGTTGTTTTTGTCCCAAAAATCCTTAACAAGCGAAGATAAGTGAGCAGGGGTAATATCGTTTACTTATTCTTATCGCTTCTTGAAAGTGGCACGAAACTTTCAGATAATAATCTTTATTGACCGTACGACCACATGGTAAAAACTCTTAATGTACTACGTCACAATAGACGAAGAAAACAGTTGTTTTGGTAAAAATTAAGCAGTTTTAGAACAAATTTTTTCTACACACGTCTTATTCCCAAACGTTCGAAAAAATTTTGTGACACTAGCCGACCGATTGATTAGACAGTTTTCACAAACAATTTTCTTCGCTGCTTAGACGTATTTGTCTGTTGTTGACGTGCTTAAACGTCCAGCATAAAACATAGAAAAAATCGATAATCGAATGTACATTGCCCGTAACATTTGGAAATTCACATTACTCTTTTAACACTTTACATATTTTCTTGTTAGCATAGTTTCTATAATCGTTTTTTTTTAGTTTTCCCTATCTCTCTTACATTTTTGGTATTTTTAGTCAGTTCTTAAGAATACACCCCATCCATTTCTTAAAAGAAGAAAATTTTAAATAATATTCCATTCACTCTGTCTCTGTGCTTCCACCTCCTATTTTTCCCTATTCTTTACTAAGTCTTCCTCTCTATTTTTCTTCGGATTTTTCCCCCTTGTTGACTTTATTTTTTTTTTTAAGCTAGCTTCTTTGCCTTTATGTTCATTTTTTGTAACTATTGTATTAATTTTTTTTTTTTTTTCTTTTTTTTCACCCTACTTTTAGATTCTACACAAAAAAAATTTTAAAGAACACTGCCTGTTAAAACATAAGCTAAGTTGTCGAAAAATCAATTTTTATAATATCAATATTTCCATTTTCACAATTTTTATTTATACAATAACATTTCTGGCTTAAAGTTAAATGTTTTTTTAAAAAAATTTGTTGATTTACGATGAAAACAGGAGTTACTCAGTATGGCAATGATGATAAAGCTTTAATCAAAATTTTTCAATTTGGAAACTCGAAATCTCCTGTTTTTATCATGAATCAATAAATTTTTTTTAAAAACATATAACTTTGAGCCATAAATGTTAGTCATTTAAATTATAGCGAGAAGGCTACTGCAAAATTTCTATTTTTAAGAAATCGAGACTAATATCAGAAAATTAAAAAAAAAACTCTGTAGACCTTGAACTACACTGGGATTTTCTTTTCCAAAATCAGTACTAAAGGCTTTTTAAGATTAAAAAAAATTTAGTGTTTCAAGTAATTTTTCGTTCTTAAAACAATTTTTTATAATCTCATGAAAAGCAATATCATAAAAATTCAAGCAGTTCTTTTGAAAGTCCAGAGCGTGTTGCTCTGGAAAAGACTTGAAAATAGAATCGAAAGCATCACCCACAGTAATATTGCCTAAAAACTTGAAATCTTCTGTGTTAACTGTATAGTAAATATTTTTTTGTAAGTTTTCAACTGCTGTGTCATTAAGAAAGTTAGAGCTCATAAGTAATAACATTTTTTAACATAAATGTTAAAGTATAATACTGTTTGGTACTTGCACTTCAGAAAATTTAAACTAAGTAATATTAATTTTTACCCTAGCAATAATACATACTTTCTATATAGCAAGGCATTAAGGTAATGGATGTAAGGTTTGCAGAAAGTACCAATCAAAAATGAATATTACTTAGTTTATTTTGTTAAAGTACAAGTAAACAGTGTTACACTACAAATGTCATACGAAATGTATGTTGTGTCAAGGAAAAAAAAAAAAAAAAACTTGACCATTTCTATATTTTTATTTCAAAACTTTTCAAGGCTGTGAATTCATAAGGAAAAATACTATTCATTGCCAGCGTATGAAGGCTTCAGAAATTCCTTACAAAATATTTACTCAACACATCAATCTTACCTCAACTTTTAGTTTTTTTAAAAGGTATTGTATTCTATTTATTTATTTCCTCGTACAGATTCACATCTTTTTACATTTACATACCCCGCGCACGACATGCTGGGCGTTTACAGCTTGCTTATAGATCCACATTACTCGCTTCTTATTTTTTACTTTACCCTCTCTGCCCTCAAAATTCCCTACCCTTTAAATTTCTCGATGACTGTTCTTTTAGGCTTCTAGCAGCTTCCCCCATCCTTTTTCATGAAAAAAAAAAAATTTTATTTCTTCCTATAGTTAACTTGAGCACGTAATCTAGACAATTTTTCAAATTCCATAAAATACTTTTATACTACTTAAACCGTATCCCCTTCCAAAAGTCTGACTAACTTTAATCTTATTATCTCTTCTGACCCTTTTAGCCCTATTTCCTCGAATTTTCTGACCCATTCTTTATTAATTTTTTTTCTTTGCTGCCTGGCTAGCAATAATACGCCAAATATTTTCCTTCTTTCTCATGCAAACCCTACAAATACTAACTTTGAACCCCTTCTTTTCCGCCTTTTCTACGCTCCCACATAAAATTCTCGTCCATTGCTCCTATGCGCTTTCTTAACACTACTTCTTTTCCCAGTAGTCTTCCACTCCTAACTTAAGTTTGATGTATTTTTAATAAACACAGCGCTCCGAATTCTCAATCCTCTCTTAATCCAGCTGTACTTCCTGATTTTCCTTCACTTTTAGCCCCTTTGTCATTCTCCTTAGTAAATCCCATCTCTCCAAAGTATCAAACACTCCTTTTAGACCTACCCAATCACCTACTTTTTTAAAAGCTTCCGTTACTAGTTTCCCCCAGGTTGACGTTTTTTATTTTCAAGCCCCCTTCTTTCCTCTTGTAAGCATATTTTAGGCCATCTATAGTCCTTCATCTCTGCTTTTTTATCAAGTAATTACCTGTCTTCCTTGTTTTAATTTCTAGACCTTTCCTGTCCGCTTCTCTTCACCAAATGTATGCCGGAGTATTTTCATTGATTCCCAATGCCATTTTAACGAATTTTTCCTGTATTTTCTCGATCTGCTCCCATCTTTTTCACCCCCACGCCTCTACTCTATATAAACAGCCGGCCTTCACTGCTGTGTTTGATGGATAAAATCTTCCTTTTAATGTACCTAAATTTGCCCTTTTTCATACTTTCCAAACTGTATTTATTATCTTTTTCATTTTATTTGCAGTTTTATTCACATGCGTACTCAGTACATACTTTATCGAGAACCAAAACCCAATATATTTATATTGACTTACAATCTGTATCATCTTCTCTCTAAATCGAAATTTTTTTATTTTTTTTTACCCTGCCCCCTTTCCTAAATATCATAACCTTTGTTTTCTCCATGTTTACTTCGATCTTACTTTTCTTCTCGTACTTTTGCAGATCATTCATTATGCTTTATAAACCCTTCCTACTGCAAGCCACCGCAGCTACATCATCTGCAAATTTCAAACTGAAAATCCCCCCCCCCTTCTTGCTAACAACTTTTCCTTCATTTTTTTTCTTCCACTTTTCCTCTATATCTTAAATGTAAATGTTAAACAGAAACGGGCTCAAGAGACAACCTTGCCTTACGCCTATTTTTGTCTCGAAATTTTTCGATATCCCTTCACTTGTAATAACTTCATTCTTCGTTTTACCTTAAATCCTTTTAACTATTTCCAGTAAATTTCCCTAATTACCCAATTCTCTCATTTTTTTTAACAATATCTTACTATCTTTTCTATGGAAATCTGTTTTAAAATCTATAAAGCACACGAACCTTCTTTTCCTTTTCTATCTTTAAATTATTGATTATGATGCTATTTAATATAAATACGTGGTCTCTTGTACTTCTCTCTACTCTAAATCCTTCTTGACTCTTATCAATAATATCCCGTGATTCTAGACTCCCTCTCGATCTGCTCGCCAAGGTTCTTTTAAATATTTTACACCCCATATCCAGTAGCGATACCCCCCTGTAATTCTTAGCCTGCTTTTCATCCCCCACCTTATGAATTAAAAAAAATTCTTGATGTATCCCATTCCTTACTCATTACTTCTTTTTCAAAAACCGTATTCAATACCGATGTTAATATCTTCAACCATAATTTTAGCAATTCTTTTGAAAATTCTGCACTTATCCCATCCTTTCCCGCTGCTTTCTTATTTTCATTTTTCTTAACGCTTTACTCACCTCCAGTTCGCTTGTCTCTATAATCATTTCTTCCTATTCCTCTGGGTCGTTCCCCCTCTTCTGCTCCGCTCCGTTTATCTGCTCTTCCTAGGATCTCTTTAAAATGTGCAATCCTCTCTTTCTTTCTTATGTCTCCTCCATATTTTTGCTCCTTGGCCTGAATTAGGCTATTGCTTCCCAGAACTCTGTCGTTTTCTTGCTCTTTTTTACAAGTTTCCATTTCCTCTACTCCTCCTTTTCCACCTTCCTCTTTCTCAACTCCCTCATCAATCTTCTCTCTTTTTTACTCCTCCTTATCCTCACCCTCTTGAGATTTCACCCACTTTTTTAAAGCCTTCCAGACCTTTCTTTTTTAATTCTCAACCTCCTCATTCCATTCTACTGACCAGACATAATTTTCACTACTGCCATTTTTCACCATGCCTAGCTTTGCCCGTTTCCCAAATTTCGTTGACCAACTTGTCCCATATTTCTTGCGCACTTTGACCTCGATCTAAGTCCTCCTCCATATTGAACATTTTTTGTTTGTAATGTTCATTTTTCCTATTGTTCCATTTTAACCTGTTTATATCATTCCTTTTTACTTTTTCCCGTCTCCTTCGTCCCCCTCCCTCCTCCTTCCCATTTTACCTTTATTGGGAGTTGATCTGATTCCATCTTTATGCCCACTATCAATTCTTTTATCATACTACCTTGTTCACTTTCAAGCTCCGGTACCAGATCAAGCACTGAACTTCCTCCATCCTCCACAAACGTAATCTCTACCCCCCAGTCCCCTTCAGTTGCTCCATTTCTTATTGTTAAACCCATCTTCTCACACATTTCTAATAATTTTTTCCCTCATAGTTCGTTACACTGTCGCAAGAATTCCTGCTTT